TCATCCACTAAAAATCCAAATACCTACTTTTATACTCTACTGGAATTAATTTTAGGAAGAACTGGGAGAACAGTTCTTCCAACAGTGTACATTCTGAAAAGGGCTAGGGCAGGAAACAATAGGAAAGTCAAAAGTCATTTTATAACAAGGTACTCTAACTAGGGTTGGGCATAATGGTATCGTGTGCAATTAATCGTCAGAAAAACATCAATCGATTATTTTTTGGCGCTTGACGATTAATACGATTAATGCCACCAGGTAGAGTCCGCTCGAGGCTCCTCTCCACTTCAAATATGATGATCATTAAAAAAAGTTCTGTAATTTATTTATCTATCAACACAATTTAAAAATTKATGTATAGCCTGAAGTCTGTAATTTTGACATAATTTGGAACACATTTTTACAAAGARCAAATCTTTTCTAAATTGGTCATGTGACCAGGACATAAGGGTGTCCAGGGACTCCAGGGGATTAACTGTCAAATTAATTATCGGCTAAATACCGCAATTAATCGTGATTAATTTTTTTGCCAATATTGCCCAACCCTAACTCTAACATGCATGTCTTTATACTGTAAAAAGTCTGGTAAGAACATAAATTCCACACAAAAATCGAAGTATAAAATAAATATGACACATCAACTGCATTCACATTACAGTGTCCAAGTTTTTCTAATASGTGAATTGAAACAATAAACATTTGTTAAGGGGTTCCTAAGCAAAAAGAGACACATTTAACACGTTTTGCAGTGTGCTATAAAAAAAATACATTTAGCCTCTAGGATCATTTGACTTTAAATCTCCATCATATCAGTTTTTAACAAGACCCATAGTAATAACACCACTATCAGAAAACTTCTCCTGAAGTTAACCATAAAAACAAGGCAGTTTGACTCACTTTATTTGTTCAACTGGCCATTTGTTAGCCCAGACATTATGGTCATCACTCTTGTGAGGAATTCACTGACCAGAACAGACTTGTGTAGGGCGAACGCGCACACACAAAATATTAAATCATGTCACACAACTGTCCTCTCAGTCACCTCTCTGATACAGACAACATTTTCAGCCCATTTATATCAAAAGCAATGGATAATAAAAATAAAAAAAGCAAATGGGTCTCAGGTTAGTGTGTTATAGTTTACTGATTTGAGTGGAGACAGAGTCATGTGCCATAGTCCTGATTTACATTTAGATATGTGCGCTTTAATTTTCTTTAAAGAAAATCCTCATTTCCACAAAAATAAATCAATAAACTAATTACAGTTGTTTGCAAGTTTAACAAGACTGTGGAGCTATAAACTGACCAGGTTGATTTATTAGCCAGTGTTAGCTTTGTTCAGAATTTCTTGTTTTAACTTACTTTTATTAACATTATTTTGCAACCATCTGCAATAAAGAAAACAGCAGTAGGACAGTTTTACACTCTTAATTTATTGCCTTTAAAATACAAAAGATACTCTGTTCTAAACATTTATTGTATTTTTTTATATCTTTAGTAGGGCTGCAGCTTTTAAGCTCCAATCACTTCATAGGTGTGAGATTTGAGGGTGCATCAATTAAAAATCATATGATTGCAACAGATGTGGATTTTTTTTCCAGGAAAGAAAAAAATTAGATGAATAATAATGTTGTCTAGGAAAATAGGTTAGTTTAGGTCCGTAAGTTAATATAAATATGTACACATCATAAATCAAAAATTTTATTAATATCAGAATGTATAGGATATACTGTATGTTATATTAAAAAACTGTTTACAGAATATAATTTAGCACATCTATAATTAAGTGAAAATAATTATTTCCTGTATTCTTTCCCTAAATTGAGCATATCTGCAAGTATTTTTTAGCACATGATGTGCAAATGAGCTGACAGCATGGATTGTGATTCAGGAACAGGTCGAGTGACAACCACAAAATAAAAATTAAGCAGTTATTATTGRATTGAGTAATGATTTAAAAGTAAGGTTTAAAAATATATATAATTAAATGAGATGAGTAATGTTAATTACTTTAGAATATGGGCACAAGTTAAAGGCTGGACTAATTAGATGTTAGATGAAAAGTCAGTTCTTGTAGTCTACACGTTCAGAATAACAACATTTAGCACAAACAAGTCAGCCTGTCCAGATAAATGGGTTGGAGTGTCCTTGAAATGGTGAGGTTTGTGGTTTTCTACCAATAAACTGGACTGCCTCCTGAAAGTGGGTCTGCAGAGGGGTAAATGAACCAAACGCTGTGTCAGGTCTGATCTGCAGTGGCTACATCTCACAGCTCAGAGGGCTTTAAGAATCTGCAATTAAMCGTTTGATCACTGATTATGATGCCATAAAGGCCGCTTCAGAGGTCTTTGTGAACAAAGAACCAACAAGTGTTTAAAGAGTAACTTACCTCAAAATTAACTTTTTTAGCTGATAAACGGTCTAGAATGTGTCTAAAATGTTATATAGTACTGTTTC